CAACCTACACAATGGTAAGACAAGAGTGACAGCTTACTGCAAGGATAGATGCCTCTGCCCATGGGACACTAAAAGATCAAAAAGTAATTGCAGTTGTGTGAAACCCTTGTGTAATTTCAAGATCATTGCAAGGAAAGTGAAATTTGAGGAAACCTTTTTTATAAGAGCAATGAAGTTAAAGCACGGTTGTAGGGTTGCAGAAAGAAATAGGAAGGTAACATCAGAGTACTTAGCTGAGAAGTACTTGGAAGATTGGAGAGCAGACCCTGATTGGCACTTGTGTAAAGGGTTTGGTGCAAGAGTTTTAAGAGATACAGGAGTGTATTGTGACTATTACAAGCTATGGTATGCAAGAGCAAGGGAAAAGTTGCTATTGTATGGAGATGGGGCAGAACAGTACAAGAGAGTATGGGACTATGCATATGCTATAAAGAAGTATAATGAGGGAAGCTCAGTAATATGTATGTGTGAGAACATAGAGAGGCCACTCCCATTTTCCAAAGGATGTTCATTTGTCTGAAGCCTGTTATGGATGGCTTTAAAGCAGGGTGTAGGCCACTCATTGGCCTAGATGGTTGTCATCTCACAGGAGCTTATCCTGGGATATGTTTAGTGGCAGTGGAAACTGATGGAAACAACAACATTTATCCTCTAGCTTGGGGTGTTGTTGAAGTTGAAAAAACTGACACATGGACATGGTTCATGGATTTGCTAGCTTCATCATTGGGGACACTTGATGGACATGGATACACATTCATGTCAGACAGGAAAAAAGTAAGTAAATCACCTCTGTTGTTGTTTTAGCTCAGTAATTAACTTAATATCAGTTGTCTTATTGTTATATTTTTTGATTGTGTGCAGGGACTGTTAGAAGCTTTCAACAATGTTGTTCCAAAAGCTGATGTTAGATATTTCTGGAGGCATATATGGACCAATTTCAAGCTGAAATGGAGTGGAGAAGCATATAAAGAACTCCTATGGAAAGCAGCAAAAGCAACAACAATGGTAAGCTTTAATCTGATTTCCTTGATTAATTAAATGAGTGGCATGTGTGGCATATGTAATCTGATTTCCTTGATTAATTAAATGAGTGGCACGTATGGACTCTTATGTAGTAGTTAACATTGATTTGTGTATATTATGAATGGGTAGTTGGATTTCAATGAGCACATGGAAGAACTGAAAAAAATGTCTGAGCCTGCACATGCATACATGTCTGCTATCCCCTCACATTGTTGGACTAGGCATGCATTCTCATCTATTCCTAGGTCTAAGATGTTACTGAATAACATGTGTGAAAGTTTTAACAATGTCTTAAAACAAGCAAGAGACAAACCAATCTTAACACACATGGAATGGATGAGAAGATATGTTATGCAAAGACACTGTCAAAAAAGGGAAGGGGCTAAGGCCATGGATGGCAGGTTAATGCCATATGTCAAGAAGCAATTTGATTGGTGTGAGAGAATAAGGAAGTACAATAACTTGAGTAGAAGTACTGAGGAGTTATTTGAGGTGGAGAACAATGGTGATAGGCATTTAGTGGACTTGAGAAGAAGGAAATGCAGTTGTTACTCATGGGAACTGACAGGAATACCATGTCATCATGCATATGCTTGCATATTATACATGAGAGGAGACCCTGAAGATTATGTGGATGCAGCATATTCAAGGGAGAAGTACTTGGCTGCCTATGATCCTGTGTTGTTGCCTATGCCAGGGCCTAAACAGTGGGAGAAAACCCCTTTCCCTGAGCCCCTCCCACCACCCTTTAAAACTATGCCAGGAAGGCCTTCAAAAAAGAAAAGGAAGAAGCAGGTTGGTGAGGATGCTGAGAAAGCTGCTGACTTGGCAGAGAAGTCTGCAAGAATGGGTGGGAAACCAAACAGGTGTTCCAATTGCATGCAATATGGGCATTACAAGAAGACATGTAAGAACCCTACCATTGATTCCTCAGCCGAACCAAAAGGAAAGGGTGGGAAGCCTTTTTCTGATGATCCATGGGTGGTGCGTAACAGAGCTATGATGGCAGCAGGGAAAGGAAAGAAGTCAGGGAAAGGCAAGAAGCAGGTTTGTCTTTGAACATTGGTTTAATTTTCTAGTTTTTTTTTTTTTTTTTTGTAAATGTGACAATAGTTCAGTTGTCTGACATAAGTGCACACTGATGCAGGGTCAATCATCTCAGCCTGTGGTTGGGGAAAGCTCCTCTCAGCAAGCGTCAAGCCTTACTGCAGCAGCAATGTCACAACAGCAGCCTAGGAGTCCAGATGATGACATGAGAGAGTAGCTAGTCAGATTTGGTGTTGTTTCGATAAATTTTGGTGGTCCTAGATATTATCTTGTGTAACTAAAACAATTAGGCAATTTAAGTCCTATTTTGTAATGCAATTAAGGCATACATGCCTCTTTAGACAAGTAACTGTTAAGGGAGTTAGTTTCCTGTTTTGTTGAACTATTAAGGCTTACATGCCTATTTTAGTTAATCAAATATCATTTCTTATCTTTTCAATTTTTACTTTGATTCATTCTCTTATGTTATTGTATATTGTTTACATAAACACAGTGAACAACAGTATCAATTCTGTCTCTTTGCCAATGTGTCATATCTTCATCATGCCAATAAAAAAAATTGCAGCCCCTCCTATTCGTTTCAACATCAAAATCAGGGCAAGCAACAAATCTTCTCCCAGGATTCTCCTTTGTCCAAGATGTCTTGATTGAAGTAGGTAAATTACACCTACACACCCTTCCAACAGATCGACCTAATTGCATAGTCATCTGTCACAATAATAAGCCCTAAATTAACTTCAATTCACAGTGAGTACACGAAATTAGTGAATAAATAGGTACAAAATTGATTTTACCTTATGCAGAGGCAAATTTCGACCACAATCAAGCTACTCCAATGGCGGAACAAGTTTGTTGGAATGTGAAGATTTCTGGGGTTGATTTTACAGTGAGGAAGAAGAAGGAGTCTTGAATGTCATTGAATTTTAATTTAGGGTATTTAATTTTTTACAGTGAGGAGTAGGTGAATTAAGAGAATTAACAGGTTTTTTTTAAAAAAAAAATTGGTTAATTAGATTAAGAGAGGCTTAATTACACTATAATAAGATTCTGACATCATTAGTTCACTTAATTGGCCGGAATTATGACTTAGGTAGTAATCGGTGCAATTTACGATTTTTATAGGTAGTAATTTACAAGTTTTTTTTTATAGGTAGTAATTCACAAAATTCGTTTTTTGTAGGTAGTAATTAACAAATTTTCCTTTGATCAATAATAGGTGTTGTCACTTGTCTCATTAGTTCCTTACTTCCTTTTTTTTTATTATTATTATTTTTTTTTTTTGTTAACAAAGTTTATTAATAAAAAAGGCAATACAATACTAATAAGAAAACTCAAGGGGCTAGCTGCCTAGACTATTAGAAAACAATATTAATTAATAAAGTAGATAAGTTTTTGTTCAAGTAAAAGGTGGTTGTAATTGAAAGGTGAAATGTACATACTATGATTTTATATTCCAAAAACCAAAAATAAAAATAAAAAAAAATAATAAAAAAAAGAAAAAAGTATAAAGATTTTATCAAAGCATTAAAATTATATGTACAATTAGCTCTTCAAGCATCTTCCAATCAATACATTTATTTATCTTAGAACTAATATGTTAGTTATATCATTTAAACCATACACGTTTTTCAATTCACTACTTTATCATCATATATTTACCTAGCTTTTATAAATATCATAAATAAATTTTATTTGATATTATATATTGAGATTAGTGTAGCATTTAATTAATTTTTTTTTTTAAAAAAAGCTTAATTAGGAAAGTTTTATTTTTAGGAAAACAAATAGACAGAGTGAAAAATGTTGTGAAATTTAAAAAATTAAATAAATAGTAACTCCACCAAAGAGATTCTTTACTAAGGTACTAACTTTGTTGTAATTAAAGTCAAAAAAAAATTCAAAATAAAAAAATAAATAAATAAAAGAAAGTAGAAGTTTTCAAGATCCACCTATTAATATTGATTTTTTGTGAGACACCTTTAAAAAATTGTAACATCTTACACCAGATTATACCATTGACATCGACCACCTCATATGTTGATCACCTTACACCAAATTCTAGCAGTAACTTTTATTTACAGATGTTGACCACCCACCAAAATCACCTAATTCAAGTTCACCCCAACACCACCTGGACAGTAGTGGTGCCCCACCAAACCCCTCCAAATCCCACCCAAACACTCTTGAAACCACCCCACCATAAACCAACCTAACCACCTTGAAACCACATAGCTAACTTCAAAACCACCCAAAAACCTTAGAAACCATTTACCCACCACCACCATTACACACCCTAACACCCTTTACTAACCACCTTCACCTACCCACAACCAAAAATCCACCCTAACTCCCTTAAAACCACTTGTCCAACACCAAAACCCACCCAACCACCTTTAAAAATCACAACACTCACCTCTTCTAAAAAATCCAAACAACCCTAATGCATGGTGGAGATAGGAGGGGGGAGATGCCGTGGTGGCTAAGGGAAGAGAAGTAACGACAGTCAAGTAACCATGGCAATGAGAATGGAGGGTTAAAAGAGAAGTCATTGTTGAAAATTGTGAATCAAAAATCTAAATTCAGTTAAAATTAATATCTCTCTCTCTCTCTCTCTCTCTCTCTCTCTCTCTCTCTCTCTCTCTCTCTCTATATATATATATATATATATATATATATATATATATATATATATACACACACACATATATACACACATTAGGTCTTTCAGTCTTTTTTTCTTCTTTTTTTAAGGTGACATACGACAAAATTGTCCTTTCAAACAAAACAAAAACCAAAAAAAATAATAATAATAAATAAATAAATATATAAATTCTTACAGCTAAATGCGGAATATTTTATTTTTTGCTTCTTAATTTGGTAAAATAATGGGAGTAAAATGTAGGTTGGTAAATTAAAGGAACGATAGTTAAGATAGGTAGTTAACCATGACAATAAATAAGAAACACTCAATTAGTTGTTATTATGATGTACAATTGTAACTGGTAGTGTGTGGTTACTTAACACAACAAGTGCAAACTAATTAGTTCTACTAGCAATTGAAGTTCCCATGTACAAGAACTCTCTTCCTGATTCCCTCTTAAACTTGATACGCGTATTTAAAACAATAATAATACAGATAAAAATAAAACTCATCAGCCGCTCTTATTGTTAGAATCTCTCTTCTAAACATATCATCAAAGAGTAAGCGTAAACCTGGTAAGGAGAGCACAAGAGCGCCAAACATGTATTTGCAGCAGGCGAAAGGCTGTTAGAGTCTAAAGTCGGGCACCAAATAAAGAAAAGCAGGGAAGAAACCTCGAATACTAAAGCCACAAAGACTTGCAACAATATGAGTAAAAGAACTTACAAAATCTGCAACAGGATACTCCTGTCCATCAGGAAAGATTGGGATGCTCCCAACTACAAATATCTAACACAAGTTGCTGCAAGAGACATACAGAAATGCATAGCCAGTCAGCAGAAATTCGTTTAACAGAAACCGGATGATAATTTCCATGCAAATGCTCAAGCAAAACATGGATAAAGATACATGATCAAACTGCCCAATGCCAATAACATTTTAAAAAACAAAACCATAATTTCTTATTCTAAAAATACATAATCTGAGTCAAAAAAAAAAAGGGAAAAAAAAAAAAATCAATATAAGGAAATATGAATTAAATACTGACTTCCTAATTCTAGCAGCCAACAGGCTAAGGGGCAGTGCGATGAACCAACTGCCTGCACAAGCACAATTCAAAATGCAGTTAACTCAAGTCATGATGGCATATCAATCTCTCGGATAGTAGATTATACAGTTAGAGATCATATATATGATATATATCTCTTGGTATCTTCAGATATTATGCAAATATCTTAGACAAAAATATCTTTCATAGATAATTAATGTATCTTCTAGTGAATCGTAAAATTTGTAATGAGTTTAAATCTCTTGTAACACAATTTATAGTTGTAGACTTGTACCATCTCACTAGTATGATTAATCTTTTTCATAAATCTATTATGATATCACAACCTTAATGTTTCTCCATTTTTCCCTATCCTCCCCATTATTTAGCTGCTAACCCTTTCATCATCTTTCTCCATCAATGCCAGTCGTGAAATCTTCACTATCAAACTAGCCAAGCAATTCGTGGTAGTGAAACACTTGTGACCACCAAACGAACCAAAATCAGGAGAGCTTCAAACTCAAAATTTCCTCTCAAGTCCCTTTCGACACACTGTAGTTAAGGCCTACTCACCTCACCTACCGGTCTAATAAATTCATATAAGATCCTATAAGATTAGATAAGATAGTGGTAATAAGGGCTAATATGTTTTAGAGATAAACTAATAAAAATAAATAAGGATATATGAAATTCTAGTAAAGAGAAGAAACTAAAGTGTTTGTCAACCACACATTTTTCTCCATACTATAAGACCTTTAAGTTTATACAAATTCAAATCTATAATCTAAAATATTATAAAAGGAACAACATCTTAACCTGTGTCATCCTTCCCTCAACATAACTTGATGCCACATGAGCAATGACATGGCATACAAGTCTTGTATTCCCTTTCAGCTTGCAATAATTGCCTCATTCTCTTAAGAAAAAACCTATAGCCAAAATTTGATCATAAAACATTTCACTTATAAGATGAATAAATTACCATCTAAGCTACTACTACATTCTATATTTGTTTCCTCTCCATACAATCACCCTAATATTTATTATCTTTATTGTTCTAAATGATAATCAACTATGTGCACTAACACAGTCTTTATTTTCTATTATTGTACAAAATGCTCAGAGTTCATATTTGAACTAATTACATCTCTCTTTAAAGTTTGGTTCATGCTATCGCTTAATTTCGTAATTGTTATAATATCTAACCATTACATCTCAAATTCATTCATAATTTAAATACTTTATGACAATTTTGATTTCATGTTACAATGACTCAAGACATCGTTCAGGCCAAACACTAGTTATTCCTAAACATAATATAAAATTTTAAAAATTAAATTAAACCTTCTTCCTTTCTTCGATCATGCATCTCCTCTCTCAAAACAATATTATCGTCATCAACAACCACCAATCAAGCAATCAATGAGTATTCATCTTGCAACTCAATTCCAAGAGTGGACTTTCCCTTCAAATGTCCATCTCAAATTCATGTAGAAGATATACCTTAGTTCAGATTGATATCAAAAAAGTAATTGCATTGTAATCACCTGTATTTCTAGGCAATGTACCTTTGATAATCCTTGGTGCTTCCTTGAGTACTATAATTATTCAATGAAACTCACTAATTTAATTAAGCCTTCTCCAACTCCTTTCTCCAATCTTTAGCATAAATCTATTATGATATCACAGCCTTGATCCTTCATTTCCCACCAATATTCCGCTACCCAACTCTCACTTAATATCTTCTCTATTGATGGCACGGTTGTAAAATTGTTACGTATCAAAGCAAAACTTGGACCATTAATATTGGCAATTTATATTAGTAAAAAATATTAAAGTTGATATAATGAAAATATACATAAATATTGATCCAAAACCATTTAAAATGACAATATTTGTTTACTATACATTAGTAAAAAAAATACAAAGTATATATATGAAAAGTGAAAAAGTTAAACTATTGCGATTAATGAGGTAATGCCACCAAAGAAGCCAAACAAAAAAAAAAACCCTTCAAACACAACTTTTGCTCTGATCTTGCACCCCGTTGTTTGTCAATCATGTGGTGCCAACCTTTAATGTATTTTCTCCAAACTTTTACGGAGAAACTAAAACTTCAACAATGTCTTATTCTCCAAAACTTTATAGAGAAACTAAGATAACCTTCTAAAGTTTAAACTACCATCACCACCATAACATATTTCTTCTACCTTTTATGTGATGAAGGAACTTGTTAAGCACAAGTTATCAAAAAAAGGAAGTGATGCACTTTCAAAAACACCTCAAAAGGAAAGTGATGCACTTGAAAAAAACTCATATAAGGAAAGTGATGCGCATAAAAAAAAAAAAAAAAAAAAAAAGAAAAAAAAAGGGGAGTAGTGAGTAAAGGTTAACTATCAAAGTAGTGGTTAATAGTATGAGTATTTGATAAAAGTAGCGCTTAAAATATAAATATACAATAAAATCCGTACATATTGTTGTAAAGTAACCAAATTTAATAAACGCAACCTACAAACTTTGAAAGACTAAAATTTTTACATTAAAGACAAGCTAGTCACATGCTATCTCTACCATTAACCCTGCTACATGAACCACTACCTTGCCTACACTTATTTTACACTTCCTCTGTTTTCCTCATCTACTACTCACTTTCTGTTTTCATCCGTTTTTCTAAGTTCTCCTCACTTTTACTTTATTCCTTCCATTAAAACCATTTATTCACTTTTTATCATATACAGCCTCACTACATGGGGTCCAGTTATATTTAATTAAACTCTTACTCTTTATATCCAAATATATTTAATTAAACTCCTACTCTTTATATCTCTCCTCCTTAAAGTAAAAATTATCCACGTACATACGGGATCTTCAATTTCACCTTTTCAAAGTTCGCGTAGCTATAGTAGTAAATCTTAGGAAAATGAAGGGAGTACTAAGAGTGCTTCAAATTTGGCAAAACGCAATCTAGTGTCTCAAACGCTCCCGCCGAATAGAGCCTAAATTCTCACGAATGAAATTAAAGAGTTTAAGATAAATAAATAAAATATTATCTTTCGTTATAAGACGTCATTTAAAGTACTTCAACAAATGAGAAGAAAAGATTTACAATTTATTTTGAAAATAAGATACACAAGTGGAATCTATTTTTATTAGTTAAAAAATATGAATAAGACTAAAGATAATAATTTAATTTTATGGATCAATCATACCACCACATAGCAATTAAAATGAGATTGGAGATTTCAAATAATTTTTTTTTATATTCGTGCATAAACAATCATTAAACCTACTAATGAAAAAAAAAAAAAAAAAAAAAAAAAAAAGATTTGTCAAGAGGCACTTTTGTGAGAAATGACTTTTTATTTAAAATTTAGCATTTTGGGACCTTACCAAAAATCATCCAGTTGATTTCAATTTCTCACCAAAATCATTTGTCTAAAGCACATGCCTCGATTTTCAACCTTTTTCCTCCCTAATCACCATCCCACCATCATTCTCTCCCTTCCTAGCCTAAACCCACCACCAGTCATGCCCTCTCACCTATTGCAAATTTTGATGCCCATGCTTTTCTTTAAAAAGGATTTGGTGTACTAATTATACCAATAAAATGCAATTTTCTTTTAGGAAACTCATACGCTAAGATATTCCACAGCCTTTGGATGGGTACCTCCTAAGAAACTTCCCCCTTCCGCTACGCATGAGTGAGGAAAAAATGCGTCGGAAAAACTGTTAGTCTGTACAGCAAGTTGCCTCAATGCACATTTAACCTTTGCCAAGATCGATTTGTTAACATCAATTTTCCAACCACTATTATTTGTGTAAAACACATGCTTTGATTTTCCACCTTTTTCCTCCCTAATCACCATCCCACCATCATTCTCTCCTTTCCTTGCCCAAACCCACCACCAATCACACCTTCTCACATATTGCAAATTATCTTTGCTGCCTTCTAATGTCACAAATCACCATGAACCAAGAAAATCACCCATATGAAAGCATCGTTGACAAAAACCCTTTCTCCTCCCCCGCCTTCAAGGTCATCTCACATTCTCCTCACCCTTAACCACTCTATTTCTCTCTCTTTCCCTTCTTTGCCTCATTCTCTATCCTCCTAAGGTGCGCACGCCGCAGGTTGGTCTGTAGGAACAATTATTAGTTCTAAATTCACGTTTAGTTACAATATACTCCACCTAGGGATAGATTTTACAAATGGTACCATAGCAATATGTGACATCAAGTTAGTCGCCTAACCTAGAGGAGGGTATGGGGTTACATCATAAGCTATGGTAGAATATATGATAGTTTCCATTACAGGGCTATACCACCGGCTTCGGCCAAATATGTGGGCACTTTTTAAGCGCAATGAAGTTGTCACGGTCTCATGATAGCTTGATAGCTATGTTACATGGGCTTTTCATTTCACCTCTGTGCCCACGTCGGATCCTCGACACTCGGACATGAGACTTGGAAACTTCACTTTTGGTTCAAAAACATGGATTTTTTTTTCACAAAATAGCCGAGTTGGATGCTTGGACACATACCCGTGTCGGACGTGGGTACCCGAGTCCATGAAACATAGCTTGAGAGATTAGATGTACTACACATAGTATACACCTAAGACTGTGTTTGGACCAAATTGAGACTAAACAAGAAAGATTACGGTCCATATCCGTGCAAACATGATATTTACTGTCTCATCCGATTTTGGACCACTTTGACCAATTAAGTTCCTTTGTATTTTTAAATTGAAATCC